GTGACCCAATTACAATGATTCACTTATGTAAAAGTACATATGACTTTTTGTGAAAAATCTGTATATGATGGGAAAAATGAACATCAATTTCAGATTCAGCGTACAGGAATTACCGTATGTAGAACATGTAAAAATTCAAGACAATAAAACCATCGCAGGCCTATGTAATCAAACCATACACTAGTTGTTGTAGTTTTATACAGACATGGCCTTTGAAGTTTATCATACCAATAAACGACAATAAAATAGCGTAGTGAATGCTTTATAAAGTTTTTGTTTATTTGTTTGAAACAGAGTTATTAAATAGCAGTACACTGGACAGGTTTTATGTCAAAAAAATATTTGTGTTTCGAATTTAATTTCTCCTTTGTTTGTTTGAAGCTACACAATGGGCGATTTTTGCTCTTCCCACCACAGGTATTGAAACCCGGTTTCTAGACTTATAAGTCCTCAGACATGCCGTTGTGCCATTGGGGGCTTCAAATTTAATACCAGTATCATGCCATCAGCCAAACTTCCTGAGAGCCTTTGGAAAAGTAAGATTAATAACGCAAAAATCGGAGGTTCGAACCTTGCGCTAACATATCACTGTGTAGCTATTGATATCGTTTTTTTTAATCCAAGTATAGTTAATGTTTGAAAAAGATGAAAGGGGGGAGCATTGATTGAAGAAAGAGGACTGCAGGAAAGATCATCTGGTCGTCGTTAGTCTGAATAGGGTTATTACAGCCATCACGCTATACAGTGGTGGAATGCAGGTCATAGCCGCGCGCCAAGTGTGCCACAGACAATGATGGCACGTGTGCGCGCGAGTTCAGCCGATTACCAGCGTGCAGCCACCCAGCTACGTGGGGTGCACTAGGGCGAGACGAGGTCATCAATGCACAACGGCTGCCACTATGTTCCCACGGTATAGCGAAGCAGAAGGCCGGTGTGTGTGTGTGTTAGAAACTTCCCTCTTTGGCCCTCTCCCCCACTTGTGACTGTCGGCCTTCCACCACCTACTGTTAATTGGATTCTTATAGCGGAAGAGAGTGGCCTTCCTAAGGAATGTATAGTAAGGCCTAGTTAACAACGCAGGATACTTTCCAGAAAGACATTACAACGCATCTCAGTCTTTATGATTCCCAGTCACCATGAATTTGTTTAATTACTGTAGTTACGGCATTTCGTCACGAAAGTGTACCTTTTCCTGTTCAGAATTCAATACAAATTTTGTTAGTTCCTTTGTTGAATTTCGCCCAAAGCTACTCGAGGGCTATCTCTCTAATGTAGAAGTGATAGACTAAAGGGAAGGCAGCCAGTCTAAACCACCCACCGCCAACTCTTGGACTCTTTACCAACGTATTATGCGATTGACACGGCTGAAAGAGCGAACACGTTTGATGACGGAATTCGATCTTGCGACCCCCAGATAGTGAGCCAAGTGCCCTAAACACTAGACCTTGCCAGGCTCTGAATACAAAGTAACATGGTAAATAACACAAGTATCAGATAGGTCAAATACAGAAAATATCAACATGTAGGGACCGTTGATCCAATTCTGATCCATTTCCGAGAACTGACAGATAATGCTGCTATACGCTGTATAAAAGGCTTACCTCTTGAGCTAATAACAATTGAAGTTCTTATTTCTCACCTTTCTATTTCATCTTCAACCTATGGACAGTTTTAGTAAACAGTGATCATTATAGGTGTATATGTACTACACAAAGTCATTTTATAAATACATTCACACGCATGCGCTCACAGAAGCATACATCCATATGAATGTAAGTTACCTGAAGACTATAAATGAGACACAACTGTAGTTAAATGATAGGTGGATATAGTTTGGGGGGGGGGGTGCGCCACAAGACGACAGCCCACGTGTAAGGCTTGTGCTGTGAAGTTATGGCAGAACCGGTTGTTTTTACCACAGAACGCCTGTTTGATGAGCTTGTCCTCGGGCTCTTTCCTTGAGGAAGGCGGAGTTTTCCCACACTCAGACGCGTTCCTCTGCTTGCTGATAAAAAGCTACGGCACGTGTACTGCAGCCGCTCTGGCAGATGTATGCTCTGATTTACAAGTAGAGGAGAGCTGATGCCTTTACAGGAAGGTGGGGAAGCAATCGGGAGGGAAGGGGGGAAGAGCTTGTCGGGATGTTCGTTGACCACTCGGCGATCACGTGTCGCGAGCCACAGCAATCACACCTATCAATAAACCCGCATGCCTGCACTATGATTGGTGCAGCACAGCGTGGGAAAGTGTCGCCCCTTCGTATCTCATGCCTACTGCCTCGACACACTCTGTTGACCCCGAGCAGCCATAAAACCTTGCTTCTCATGGTTCTTTCCCACAGTTTAACGTACCACGTGCTCGTGTTCACTTAGCGCCAGTCACGTTCCTGAGCTCAACAGCTACATACCATCAGTTTCAGTTTGGCTACGAGCCAACACATTTGAGTACTACCTGTCTGAATCGTTACACAGCAAAACCACCAGTGTGAAGGATTGCTATACAGAAAGATGCCTTCTGAAAAATCCTCAATGAAAACCAGCGAAAATCGCAGGGTAAGAATTAATTTCAATTAATGACAACCTATTTCTTTTGATCTATTACCTTTGACCATAATACAACACTTGTTGAAACTTTATTATATAAATAGACATAATTTACTTTAAGAAGCTATGATGGCAATCAACTTTTAGTCATGCTTTCTTGAAAAACAAACCGATATTTCTGAAGATCTTGTTATATAGAGAGACGTCATTTATGTTCAAACTTAACAAGAACCGTGTCTTTTTTTTTCTTCTCAGAGCACCAAGCCTATCATGGAAAAGAGACGACGTGCTCGTATCAACAACAGTCTAGGGGAGCTAAAAAACTTGATATTGGATGCTTTGAAGAAAGATGTAAGTACATGTGAATTTATATCGTTATACCATCGTCGTTAATCTGAACAACAGTTACTCGTTGTGTTACGTGTTTATAGTATTAATGTTTTTTACGTCTTTTCTAAAGTTAATTATTGATGTGTTTTCTGTAATTATTGTACTTTTAAATCTGTATGTCTGCGGACTTACAACGCTAGAATCCGGATTTCGATACCCGTGGTGGACAGAGCACAGATGGCCCATTGTGTAGCTTTGTGCTTAATTACAAACAACCAAACTTTTAAATTTTGAGTTTTAAACTCTGGGGTAGATGTTTAGTAATGTATAACCTCTGCATGATGAGTCACTTCCATAATCTTTGTAAAAAGAAACCGCCATGTGGGGCACGTGTAGGGCAACTGTGAGGAGCAGATAGTGAATAACGTCTTGCGTGCCCTAGCGGAACAAAGCTGCTCGTGAGAAATGTTCCCACGGGTCTCAAGACAACGTGAAAGGCCTAGCCAGGTGTTTCCTCGGTCGAGAATATACCCGTTGTGTTATTTTCTGTAAGGAGGTGAAAGTGTGTGGGGGCCGTAGTGGAACAAAAGTTTTAAGAATTGAAAAGAAATGTGCAGTTGGTAGGTGTTGGAACAAGTGTAGAACAGGATAAAGGAATGTATTTTGAGTGTTACAAGGGAAATATTCTTAATGTTAGAATAACTCTTTTAAAACTTGCTTATAAGTTTCATTGTTTATGTTTCAGAATGCTCGACATTCGAAGCTGGAAAAAGCTGACATTTTGGAAATGACGGTAAAACACCTTCAGAACCTTCAACGTCAACAGATAACGGCTTGTTCCCTAAGTGACCCTTCAGCCATGTCAAAGTTCAGAGCTGGTTTCAACGAATGTGCCAATGAAGTCTCCCGCTACTTGAGTGGAATGAAAGGAATCGACCTTTCTGTTCGACAGAGGCTTATGAACCACTTAGCTGACTGTTTGTCTGGTCTGAGTCCCACTTATCCCCAGACCTCTGGTAACTACAGTCTTCCGTCCTTGAGTCCCGTCCATATTCAGGTTCCTGCTAGCACCACAACCATTGACACCAAACTCTTCGAAGGTATACAACTTGTACCAACTCGCCTTCAGAATGGAGAAATTGCTTTTCTTCTCCCTGGAGAGGGGCTGACCAATCAAAATCATTTATCTACTTACTCGCCGGTCATGTCGTCTATCCCATCGGGTCCGGTTAGTGTCTTGGGGTCATCGGGTATTCTGAGCCCTGCTGCCAGCGATAGGTCACTATCCAGTCCTAGTCCTGTTACTTACACGTCTACCACGTCTCCCGTGTTGATCACTTCTGGACCAGTGTTTGAACCTATATCTCCTGCTCCATTTCACCAGCAAGAGAAACCAGAAACCGAGCATGTTTGGAGACCATGGTAATATGGTTACCACTTTATAACATTGAGACAATTACTTTATAGACGAACTTCAGTAGAAATCCTGACGTGCCATACAATAATAGACACTCTCACGTTCTGTAATACTTAGTTATTTAGACACTAAGTGTGTGTGTCTGAACATAATCAGAAGATATCTGTTCGTGAGATTTCCAAAGAGGCAGATTGGTTAGCTGTGATATATTCTACCTGTTTTCAGTTCGGAGAATCCGGTGCTTTGTAATTTATTATCATCATTTGATTTGTATATATATATATATATTGTACATTTATCATTCATCAGAACATCTGAAGCATTTGGTAAATGCTAAACATTAAAAGTATATGTTAAAATAAATATTCGTTTTGTGTGTATGCGTTATTTACTGAATTAACAACATGGAATTGGATAATATTTAAAATGGTATCATAATATTCTCGGTAATGGCAATTCATAAGGAAACATTAACATTTTAATCTAAATATTTCCTTTCCATGAAGAGAAAGCCTAATGATCTCGGTGATAAGCTAGATCGACGAATGAACATCTTTAATAATATGATTGTAAAATATCCGACGTTCGTTGTCATTAACTTCTGATCAACGCAAGCTATACACAGTCTGATTAGAACTAAAATTAACCAAGTAATCAATATACCACCTTAAGTTATGTATGCATCGAATTACTGGTGTACCCATGACCGTTGGTTACTGGATCCTTAATAAAATGAGTCGCACACATGCAATAAAAAACTGAAACAATACCACCGAGGAGAGACCGATATTTCCACCACTAGTACTGGAGTTAGATTTTATTATTCTTATTGTTATTCAACTTTTTCATCATGTTTCTACAATAATAACATTATCATGAGAATTTGGACATTGTTGTTGTTTGTTATTAAACACAAAGCTATACAAAGGGCTATCTGTGCTCTGCCCACCACGGGTATCGAAATCCGGTTTCTAGCAGTATAAGTCCGCAGACATACCACTATGCAACTGGGGGGGGGGGCGAATTTGGGCCTAATATTTCAAAAAATTAGAAAAAAATAAAGATTTCATTACATGTAACAATATTATAGGTCTCTGAAATGATTACAAGTAGACCTCAAAATGTTATCGCTTCGTGTTCTTAATATAACATTGTACACATACGACTGTTAAAGTAATATAACAACCTGATTGAACATTAAGTCTACATGTGTAATTGCTTTTATGATCAATTTTCGTAATATCGGCCCTTTTGAACACTGATCCTTCGGAATATCGGGCTGTAACCAGTGATAACACCCAATTAAATTTGGTCAGCTCTTAAACTGAATGTTTTTAACAGATGAAAACATCAAATTACTCAATACATGGACCACCCCGGTATAGAAACAAGCTGGTAATTTGAGTGTTGTTTGTTTGTATCAGGGGTGGAGCAAGCATTTTTGGATTGGTCGGGCAACTCAGAATAGTATATAAAGCACACTTTGGAATGCAAAGCATGCCAATGTTTGCCCCCCAGGAAAATTTTTAAAAATAGGTGCTCTGAGATTGAATTTTGTGCTAATTTTACTATAATTTATTGAAAGTATTAGTCATTTGTAAGCATTTCTTTATGAATAATATACATTGGTGCTCACTGGTACTTATACTCACCACAGCTATAAGCATGGTACTTATACTCACCATAGCTATAAGCATGGTACTTATACTCACCACAGCTATAAGCATGGTACTTATACTCACCACAGCTATAAGCATGGTACTTATACTCACCATAGCTATAAGCATGGTACTTATACTCACCATAGCTATAAGCTATATGCATCGTTATATTGATTCGTACATACTACTATCTAATCACCTAGAACCAGTTTTTGAAGTGCAAGTTAAAGTTTAAAAAGCCCTACAGTTACTGTGACAAAATGTTAGTAGGCTGATACCCGCACATCTGTATTAGCTCCAAAAAGCTGACGGCTGTGTAGTCTATGCCTGAGAAAAGGTAACTGCAGAGTAAACCAAGAGATTTTATATATAAAGAAAGGAACTGATTATTGTTTTACGGATGCCGTCAGGGGCGTAGCCAGCATTGCAGAGTGGGGGCGGGGGTGATAGGAGTCTTTTTTTTTAAGTAAATCTTTCTACACATAGAATACAAGTGATTTACGTGAAGGTCAAGTGTTTAATTTAAAAGAAGAAGATAGTGGACCTTTTGGACTTTCTAGAAAATTCGGACAGTCTCTAGGCACTCTCCCGGTAACGCCCTCTGATGACCGTGTATATTGGATATTTAAGAGTTTTCGGTTTATCCAAAAACATTATAACAAATATAAACTATATTAGCTGAAATGTTCTTTTAAAGTGTCGCACATATCTACATCAATCAGCCTTACAGGCTGTATGCTGTAGTTGGCTTTCTGCCAAAGTGGACATTTCCCGCTTTTCCTTCCTTTTTTTTTTCACGCCAACTTACCAAGAAACATACATTTTGGGCAAAGCATATAAATTTTCCGATGATGCAAACGCACACAAACTTCGCATTGAAAACAAATTTGCGTGAGCGTTATATGTTTCATGTCTCGCCATTTTGAATTCAACGTCTTAAAACTGTACCATGTGGCAACACACAAGGTTTTTCCCTGCTTTCCTAGAATTGCTACGAAACCACGTGTACAATAAATAACTTTCCTATAGCAAGGTAATTTTTCTTCTTCTTTTTTTTTTTTTGGTCGGTGAATATCAAGTGGAAAGCCGTATCTCAAACGAAATTTGATCGGATTGATTAAGAGAGAGGATTGCCATTCGAGAAAGGTCTAAAATTAAAGTTGAAGAAATTGGATGACTCCATTTTGAGAATGGTGTTTTTAATGTGAAACTTAAGCTACATGTATCGAATGCTGTCTTCAAGTGTAATTGGAAACAAAACAAAAAACAAAATATCCAATAGCTTCAAAAGTCCAACACAGACGGATTTATAGTGGGGTACAGTAATTTACTCTTGAACCTATGGTATCTGTTTACGTTAAACACACCGAAAAAATCTCAAGGTTTAGTAACTCTTCTGTTTCGCCAACCACAGTTTTGGTTATGTAAATTGAATCTGTAGTTCTTCTTACAGCGCCTGTTGAACTTATATCAATGCCGATACAATTACTGACAGTTGTTTCAAAAGAACGATAGAGGGCGGCTTCATGAAAGCTGCCAGACTGTGAGAAAGTCAAACAAGTTAGTAGATATACAACTTCTCCGAGGTCAAGTGGAGGCTAGAACCCTGTTAACAGGACGTAAAACTTTCTTGTGGTACCCGTTAAGATAAAAAGAATAAAAAAAAGAGATGGGGAGATACCAGTTTTGCCATCTTTCAGTTGTTTAGTAAACTAATAATTCTATAAATCAGAACATTTCAGTATCTTAATTTTTTTTATATTAATTCATGTATAAAAGGTGATCTAACAGCTTGCTTAGGACTTTTAAATACAATGTTATATCTTTACAATTTACAGGTATTGACACAAATTCAATTTTGGAAAATGTCTGTGAACTAAATAATGTTAAGGACATTGTACATGTTTTGGAATAAAGTATTCAAACGATGCCACAATTTGAATAGATACCAACAGCTTTTAGATATTCATTTAATGTTGAAAATTTAAAGCATTTGTAAGCGTTTGAAACTCGGACGTTTCGAGAAAGTAAAAGTGTAAGGAAAAAAGTTCACAAACTGGGGTTTTCTTCGTCTTTTATCGTACTGCAAAAGAAAAAGAATAACCTTATCAGAAGTATTAATAAATGCACGGGACTCAATATGCATGAATACTAATAAAAACACGAGATTTGCAAACATTTGTAAGCGTCAGTGATTTGTAGCCCCACTTTTTTTTCTTTGATCATTTCTTTACACTAAATGTTGGAACATAAAATTGCTCAATATGATGCAATATATGGACCCACACCCTCATTGTAACTCTTCTTTGCTTAAAAATATGTTTTAATGCTTGATAAGTTCGTGGAAGAACGTGATCGTAAAATGTACACAATTGTGCCATGTCTATGATTACACAAACAAGTGAAAAACGTGGTTCTGTTATATATATATTGTAATTTTTTTTATTTTGGAAATGTTTCAAAAATTAAAAAAAAGCACTTGAAATTTCTGCTTTCAAAGTTTAACCCTTTTCTTTACCACTGACCTATTTAAAAACATGCGCACTTATTCCTCAAGAAGCAAAAAGATAATCTAATACGACTTTTTCGGTTTACGACCCTCACGTTTTGTATATCCATTTAAGATACTAGGGAGGTATTTTCTGTTTGTTGAATTTCGTGTACCTGAGATGTTTAGTTGCAGTTTCATAAGTATTTTTGTGGTCGCAAGTAATCCGTCACGTAGGTAACCGTTAGGTGCTGAAAGATAATGGGGAGGAGGCGTTGAAAAAGATGCTTTATTGTTCGAAATGTCTGTAAACTTGCGTTTCAGTGTCACTTTAATTTATAATTATTTTTACATTTTCCAAGCCACAGTAGATCAGCAGTAAATTTACAGACTCACACGTTAACATACGAGATTCGACACCCACTGGACAGAGTGCAAATAGTCCAACGTGTAGCTTTACATTAAAAACAAACAAACAAACAATTACATTTTCCCCAGAAGGGCTTAAAATTATTTAACAAACCAAAAGCAATCGTTATAATGCTTGGAGACGGCTTGAATGGGTAATGAAGAAAAACATATCAGCAAATGTATAACGTTTCGACAAAGCTTAGTCATCATCATTGAAATCAAAAGCAGTCGTTATTGCCATCTAGTAGCAACCTAAGGAACTAAGCATTAAAGAGTTCAAACAGTTATTTTATCCTTTCCTTAATGTTTATATACAGTATATCAAATTAAAGAAACAGAAAAACTAATATTACAAGGTTTATTTGGTCAGTGATATGACGTTTATTATTTAATGTCAGTTAAACTGAGTTAAACATATTAACTGAAATGAAATTAAACATATCAAGCAAAAGAAATTTGTATTTATATCAAATTTGGCACAAGGACTCTAGAACAGAAATTATTTGCAAAAGTTCTTGAAGTCATGAAAACGAGTTTTTCTTTTCTTTTATGTCGTATTGTTAATTACATTTATACATGGAGAGAGAGTAAAGGTAATGTTACAAGTTAATGAAAGTAAGCAACATTTTCAGCTTCGAATAAGTATGATTAACCTTAAAATAAAGACGGTTTGTTTGTTTGTTTTTAATTATGCACAAAGCTACACAAGGGCTATCTGTGCTCTGCCCACCACGGGTATCGAAACCAGGTTTCTAGCGTTGTAAGTCCGCAGACATACAGCTGTGCGGCT